GAAATGGACATGATGATATCTGAATCTTTAAAATGTGTTCATATTTTCAGTGACCTTGTATACCTCTTATACTGTATGATTCTTGTATACTGTATGTTTCTCATTATCTCAAGGTTATTTTTGTCGCAAACTAAAGTCTTAATAATGTCAAATGGAAACTTCTTATTAATTAAGAAACACCTGTGACCAGTTGCATAAACCTAGCCTCTATGTTAAGACATTTTCTCAATAACTAATTTGACCAACTAGCAGTTAGCCAAGGGGTAATCAGTCTTATTTTTTGGATCCAACTTAGAATAATCTACTTTTTTTTTTGTAACCGAGAAAAAAAAAAGAAAAAAAAGACTAGTTTTGAAGAAAAAAAATTGATGACTAACTTGTAAGACTAGTCTAAACCTTTTATGCAACCGGCCCCTGGTCTAAATGTGCATTTTCCTCCTAACACTAGGATCCACCTTAGTTCCTAAAATCCTGAATTCTAACTACAGAACTGCTAATGAAATGTCACAATAGCTTCTTTGACCTTTCCATGTTCAGCAACACTAGAGCAAACATGCCCTTTAGTTCTGCAGTGAAACTACCATTCCTTGTTTAACATTAAGATTTTGATGGTGGAATCCCAGAAATTATTTTACTGGGGCCTGCATCCAAAAACACCTACTCTCTGAGTCTGTACTTATTTTGAATATGTAATTATTTCACAACAGATAAAAAGTATTTTCTACATAATTTTGATGAATGTGTGTTGTATGAATTTAAACTGGACACACTGCATTCGTCATGTTGTAATTTTCATGTGACCTACCAATCTTCTCCCGTGGCCTCATGTAATAGTAAAGTGTCCATTAGATGCGCACTTCAGAATCTCGCTAGAAACAGTAGCTTATCCGGGAACTTTTCACCTACTGTTTTAATTCATACACACTACTCTTTTCACATACTGTTTTTCCTACTATATAGTAAGGAAGTATGTGATTTCGGATGCAGCCTAGGACAATTTCAATCCACCTTTCACTTTTCACCAACCACCTTATAGGAATAGGAAGTGAAGCTGAATATACTATCAGGAGCATCTCACTCTCACTTTTCCAAAGGGAGTGTGCTGTTCCTGGAAGTCCCCTTTCAGTGGGGGCAGACAGAGTCAGCGGCATGTCCATCATAACGCATCAGCCTCGAGTCCCAGTATCCCAGCATCCCCTGTGCTCTCATTCACTCTCTCACTGTCTGCCAGTGAGCTACACTTCACTGCATGTTCAAATGCTGTGGTTTTCCCCCTGAAACTCACCATTTTATATGTGTACTTAAATAGCCTGCGTGTGAATATTATGTGGCCATAAAAAGCAGCTGAAATGCAGCATGACATTATTTACACTAATAAAATGCTGCTACACATCTGATTAAACTCGTAGATCAGGTTTGTTTCTCTCTATTCATACTGGTTTTTCACTCTCTTTGCACTCGTTAATTAGCATATTAGCGAAGCTCCGACAATAAAAGCTTGTTTTCTGCAACAATCGCTGTTTAGCGACAGGGCTCTTGTTCCATTACAAAAGAATAATAGATTCACAAGGACACATTTCCTCCAACATACTCAAGATTCATGCCCCAGGAATGTATCTGCACGTGAGAACCCAGACAACAGACATCTGGTGCCATAGACATCCCAAGGCGTACCTTATCAGCCGTAGGCAAATGGTAAAGCACTGCTAAATCCCTCTTCGGCTGTTGAGAATCTAGTTTGTGACTAGCTCCAAATTTCTGAATATCAGTTTTTCATATTCTATCATTAAATTCCTGACAAACACACATTGTTATGCAAAGCGTAGGTTGTTATATTTAGTTTTTTTGATACGGGGTATGCTGGTGTCCCTACGAAGCTTCTTAACTGGCTTCACCAGCAATTCTCCCAGTATGTGAAAACCAAGGTTTGACCAGCATTTCTGTCAGGACCACTATCGTCAAAGATGATTGACAATTAGCATATAGTTTGGATTGGCGGTATGGTTCTGTTCCGGGCAAGAACTCCCTGCGCATCCATGCATCCTAGCCAACATAAATTTATTGCAGATATCGTTAAAGTTCAATAATTTTATGTACACATTTTAGAATTAGTCTGATTCAAAGGATAATCAGAAGGCTGAATCCTGACTGACAGAGGAGGAGCTGGGGATGGAGGAGGGTAATTAGCTATTGAGTGATGCGAAAACTGCTGATAATACTGAGGGACCTTATATATGTATGCTTAGATAGGTTTCGTATTCCTATAGGTAGATGGGGATCAGCTGAGAGTCAGCTGATGCGAGCTTGACTAACGTGACCTGCCAGAGCTAACACTACACTTGATTGTTGTTAGTGAAAAGCATGGCTATACTGGTCCACAAGTTACACCAGCATCTAGCCAGCTTCTAAGTTCATGCTGGTCTAAACTGGATTCAGCATGGTTGGCAATAAAGAATACTATTTTTAATGGATTTAAAAGCCTGCACTTCCTTAAGCAATATATTATGTTCCCATTGATTAGACTGATATGATTTATTTAAATGAAGTCATTTTGGATCAAATCACTGTGAATATAGAATTTTGCCAGCAGTGACCGCAGTAACTGTACAGTTATAGATTTCATTGCTTTATATAAGTGTCATATAAGGAGATGTACCCAATATATAACTCAAACTCAAAAGTGTATTGATGGTTACATTATGGATAGTATTCTTGCTTTCATTCTCACAATCTACATTCTGAAATTTGCATGTTCTTCTTCATCCATAACCATATGTATCAGTTATGGATGGAAAATATGAACTTGCATAAAAATTGAAACAGCTGAAGTGTCTGGAGTGATGAATAGAGTAAAGCGATTTTATGAAATTTAACATATTAATTCTAAATCAAGGAGATTAAGCCGAGCAGAAAAGCTTTGCTTAACTAGAAAAGGTGCTGTGATTGTCAGTAGTTGAAAGTAAGACTTTGGATAAAAGTCTACCTATCTTGACCATACTCATGGTGCTCCTCGTAATAAGTCTTTACTGCATTATGTGGTCAAGACCTTAATAAAATGGGATTATCTGAAGCCTACATTTAAAAAAAAGAGACAAAGATGTGTTAACCTTGGTTATTTTTTTCCTATATGCAGCCCATTCTGTCAACATCTGCCTTTCCCCTCCCCACAGAACATTGTTTCTGTGCATTGGGATTCTGTCATACTCTAATTCATCACTCAATGGTTCTACTTAGCAGACCTTGACAAGTGTTTTAAAATCCCCCCCATGTTTAAATAAAGACACACGTTTATACAAAGCAGAGCAACCTTGAGTTAGTGAGGAGCATTATCCCTTGTCCATAAAGACATCCTATTCAAACTACTTTTTTCCACACTTTTGTGTTTTAGATTGAAGTACATTGAAGCAGCATGCTCTGGGTGGATTCCAGGAGGATGAAAGTGACAAACAGAGAGAGTGAGAGAGAAGAGGATGTAACTGCATTATCCTTTTTTGTACTTATACTTTATTATTGTTATTATTATTACTACTATTCAATCATGTTTTCAAACAGTCCCATCAAATGGCCTTGTTCCCATTGATTAGACTGATATGATTTATTTAAATGAAGTCATTTTGGATCAAATCACTGTGAATATAGAATTTTGCCAGCAGTGACCGCAGTAACTGTACAGTTATAGATTTCATTGCTTTATATAAGTGTCATATAAGGAGATGTACCCAATATATAACTCAAACTCAAAAGTGTATTGAGGGTTACATTATGGATAGTATTCTTGCTTTCATTCTCACAATCTACATTCTGAAATTTGCATGTTCTTCTTCATCCATAACCATATGTATCAGTTATGGATGGAAAATATGAACTTGCATAAAAATTGAAACAGCTGAAGTGTTTGGAGTGATGAATAGAGTAAAGCAATTTTATGAAATTTAACATATTAATTCTAAATCAAGGAGATTAAGCCGAGCAGAAAAGCTTTGCTTAACTAGAAAAGGTGCTGTGATTGTCAGTAGTTGAAAGTAAGACTTTGGATAAAAGTCTACCTATCTTGACCATACTCATGGTGCTCCTCGTAATAAGTCTTTACTGCATTATGTGGTCAAGACCTTAATAAAATGGGATTATCTGAAGCCTACATTTTAAAAAAAGAGACAAAGATGTGTTAACCTTGGTTATTTTTTTCCTATATGCAGCCCATTCTGTCAACATCTGCCTTTCCCCTCCCCACAGAACATTGTTTATGTGCATTGGGATTCTGTCATACTCTAATTCATCACTCAATGGTTCTACTTAGCAGGCCTTGACAAGTGTTTTAAAATCCCCCCCATGTTTAAATAAAGACACGCGTTTATACAAAGCAGAGCAACCTTGAGTTAGTGAGGAGCATTATCCCTTGTCCATAAAGACATCCTATTCAAACTACTTTTTTCCACACTTTTGTGTTTTAGATTGAAGTACATTGAAGCAGCATGCTCTGGGTGGATTCCAGGAGGATGAAAGTGACAAACAGAGAGAGTGAGAGAGAAGAGGATGTAACTGCATTATCCTTTTTTGTACTTATACTTTATTATTGTTATTATTATTACTACTATTCAATCATGTTTTCAAACAGTCCCATCAAATGGCCATTTCACCAGCATGCATGCATATATATGAAGGCACCTATAATACAACAAACTCAAAATCATAATAATATTTGTCTGCTTAGTTGTTGCTTTTACAAATGTGACTAACACAACATTAATAACAGGATGCAATTATCCAGTTTCAGTCAGTAGGATTAATATTTGTGGTGGTGGTTTAATGAAGACAGTTAGGTCTGAGAACCTCTAAATGTGTTTGTCTTCTGTAACCAGACAGCGCCATCTGCTGTTTAATAAAGAAAATGTTTATACTTTCTCTGTGAGTTAATAGTTCGAGGTTCATAGAAAAAATAAAACGTTTTATGAAATTGTGTCTCCCTCAGGTTTTCATTATAGACTGGAGGAGTTATATTTTTAAGTCTGAAACCTGGATTTGTTGAAATGAATTGTCGCGTAGGTCACACTGTCTGATGTAACTGGTGTCTGAAAGACAAGATAAATTAATAGCAAAAACATAAACAATTTTTGGGGAAAGGGACAATTCTAATTGTCAGAACAATAAGTTAACATCATTACTTAAATGTAAAATATATACATTATATTCATATATACATATACTGTTTTGAACTGTATATTAACAGATGCATAATTTTAATTAACATCTTCACTCACCTCATCTCTTTTATACATGTTTCCTTTTCCTGCTGACAAAACGATAATTATGAGATTATGCTGAAATTTTGGAATTCCTGAATGAAACTGATCTTACCATATCTGTTTCTTCTTATATTATGGTATATTTCATGACTCTTTTCTCTGTTTTCTGGTGTGCTGCTGCGCTCTACTGGAAGAGGATGAAGAAAAGTAGATCAAGCTTGTGAACAACAGTCAACATGATGCTAGGGTTGACTGAGTGTTTCTATATCGATGCTACAAAAAATATTTTGTTGATTTAAATACCTCTGTCATCCCTCATTTGGCTGATATTGATATAGACTGGTTCAGACTCCTGAGGGTCAGAGTGCACTGAAATGATTGCAAACACAGCAAGAGTTACACTTTGAAAGAAAGAAAGAAAGAAAGAAAGAAAGAAAGAAAGAAACAAACAAACAAACAAACAAACAAACAAAGAAAGAAAGAAAGAAAGAAAGGACTGTTCCATCATGTGCTGTGAAAAGATTCAAAAGAGAATATTTTTTTAAAGATGTACAATTGATGAATGGCTGATTATTTGATTGTTTTTGTACCTGACATTCGTTTCCTGTAGCAGTAATACAATAGAGCTCCAAGCAGAATCCCAGTAAATAGAGTCAAAACACAGGACAATGTAGTGTTTGCCTGTTTGTTGATTACTGAAATTAAATGAAGACTTTATTAATAAATTAAAGGTGTTAATTACATCTGAGGATGAGCTAGAACATTTACAATGTACATCTTGAGCATACAATTTCATTCTGAGTTAAGGTGAAAATACAGTGATAATGGATGGATTAATGGATGAAAATATGACCTTGGCGTGTTACAGTTGAGCTTTCTGTTGGAGCATTTGTATTTGATGAGGTAAGATTGATTGTTATAGGGGCCAGAGCTCTGAGTGTATTCTCAGTAAAAACTGCACACTGCCAGTCCGTTTCATAGCTGGCTAGATTCACTTTGAGATGTAACATGGTGTTTATTTTTTTTGTCACAAGTTGCTGTTTGACCAGCACTCCTCTCTTCCCCTCCATCCTGAGCCAGACCAGCGTCACTGAATCAGTTACTTCAGAAACCTCACAGGTAAGAACCACTGAGTGACTCCTCAACACATCATCAGGGGGCTCAATCGAGACTGAAATCAACAATAACATGAATTACTTTTTAAATGCACTGAACACATTAAAAAAAATACAGTTTTGGATGTCTGATGATCAAATGTAAGTGAAAAATCTATGTATTTATTATTATTAATTTATCTATTTCACAAACCTCTGATGGTGCGTAGTATTGTGGTTGTGTATATTGTTGTTTCAGTAATACACTTGTATGTCCCACTATAATTGAAGTTCACAGGTGAGAAGTGAAAGATAAAAGCTTGACTATTGTATGTTGTTGAAGAACCTCTTCCTGGTTCAATTGGTCCTTTTATTTGAACTTCTCCTCCATTTTCAACAGCTATCAGATCAGTCTGTGAATTAGAACTTGACTCCCAGGTCCACGTCCAGTTCTTATATATTTTGATAGACTTGCAGATCAGTGATACATCGCTATTACTGGAGCTTTGTCTGTAAATGGTTTGACTTTTACTATGTGAATCTGGAAAAACAGTTAGGTAACCTGGTGAGTTTCGGTAAATACATCTATCTCAGTTAGTACATAGTTCATTTCTAAACATATTTGTGAAAAGCACTGTCTTTAGGCCTAAACCTTATTTTCTTTATTTTTTAATGACTTCTGCACATTTAACCTATAGTTTAGGCATACAACAGGCATAAACACAGATTTAACGTAAGAATAACATAATAACGTAAAAATGTACTTACTTGAAGTAACATTAAGTTTGTGAATCCTAACCGTTTGTACTCTTCCATCTTTCATCAATCTACAGTAATATTCCCCTCCACTGCGTTCATCAACAGTGTGTAAGAGGATGTAGGTAGAGTTGTTGTATATCAGAGTGGTGTTGGGTGTTTGTTCTCCATCTTTCTCCCAGTGCAATGTGGAGGATTTAGACAGGAGAGGAACGTCACATCGCAAAGACACGTCAGATCCATGCTGAACTTTGAGAACCAGAATATTAGAAAGGAGTGTGAGAAACTGCAAATATCTTTCTAACGTTAAAAACTTTTATTTATTTATTTTTTAATTGTTGCTGTACAGAAAATCAACCAACCTTTATTTTGGGTCTGAACAGTTTGAATTGGTGGATGTGCTGTGAAAGAAAAACAATTACAATTACAACTACAAACACTGCAAGATAAAACCAACAAACCTTGCTGAGGACACAAATTCAGTATGTTTTCACCAGCATTTTCAAAATATTTGAACAAAGAGAGGCTAAGATTGTATGCTTTATAAATAAAACTGGTTGTCTGTAGTGGTTGTTAATCACACACTGACATAGACATGTTTAGGTTAAATAGTTTTGAATAAAACATTTACAGCTTTAGATATTTAATTTGAATTTAATAACAGTGGATATGAAACTGCAGATTACTGTACATAAATTATTTTTTTTCAAATGGCTTCAACATTATTAAATCATTCTATAATTTATTAATTTCTAATTAGAATTGACATTGTGTTGATCAACAAGCTGCATAAGAGGGAAGAATTAAAATATCTAGAAAGAATATTCTTCCTTTTGATATGATCAGTAGATAAAGTGAGACTCACCGATAGCATGAAATTGGGAATAAAATCCACACATCAAAATAAAGATTGTAAAATGTGTAAGCGGCATGATTCTTCTTTCCAGTGCCTCAGATAAAGTGATGCACTCTGAAGAGTTTAAAGAAAGTGCTAGCCAGAAACTTTTACTGGGCGGTGCAATAGTCAGAAATCTCTATGCAATAGAAAACAGTCAGCTCATCAATTTTAAGCAAAATTTTCATACAGAGAGATGAAGAAGTAATTTATTTTGCCATGTTAACTTACATGGAATAAATGTTCTAACAATCTATCTTCAAGAAAAAAGAGAGTATTTTAAACTCTTCTGTTTGTACATTTTATACAAATGTCTCTAATAAACCCATTTAGGTTATCTTGCATAAATAGAATGGCATGTTTGAAAACTATTATTAACTACTATTAAATAATAACAATAATAATGAAATATTATTTTTAGATTAGTCTGGTTTTCTCAATTAGCTAATTCCCAGAGCAGCAAATATGAACCATCTTTAGGTTTCTCTAAAAAAAGATCTACACTCACAACTGTCTGTACCAACTTACCAAAAGATTGGGGTCAGTAAGATTTTTTAAAATGTTTTTGAAAGAAGTTATGCTTACTAAGGCTGCATCAATTTGATCAAAAGTACAGTCTAAATAACAAAAATATTATTACATCTTAAAATGAAAATTTTCTATTTGAATGCTTTTTTTTATTTATTTATTCCTGTGATGTTAAAGCTGAATTTTCAGCAGCCATTTCTCCAAGTCTTTTGTGTCACATGATCATTCAGAAATCATTGTAATATGCTGATTTGCTCAATAAACATGTCTTATTATTATCAATGTTAAAACATTTGTGCTGCTTAATATTTTTGTGAAAATTGTCATTTTAAGGATTTTTCGGGTGAATAGAAAGTTTAAATTTATTTGAAACAGATTTTTTTTGCAACATTACAAAATACTTTACTGTCACATTTGCTGAAAGTATTAATTATGAAATTATGTACTTGTCACAGGGGGAACATGCAGCCTTCTTAAGGTTTTTCAGTGAAATTAAATGAAAAAAATGAAAGGGGTCCTATTACGCTTTTTCAACTTTAGTTAGTCTGTAATGTTGCTGTTTGAGCATAAAAAAGATCTGCAAAGTTACAAAGCTCAAAAGTCAATTCAAAAGGAGAAATTTTATTTAATTCACTTTTCAAAAACTACAACGAACGACTCGTTTGGACTACAACGCATATTTTCCGGGATTTGTGATATCACAAATACCGACGAATGGGACGAGACCTGGTTGAGCTGCACTAGAGAAGGCAACGAGTGTTATCACTATGTTGGAGACACGCTAGCTTTCCCAAGGCAGACGAACTTGGAGTGGTACTGGTTATAATCATCCGGGTTTAAATCACGCTAAAATTGATTTGATTTTGAAGCAGTATTTACTCTGAAGCTCGCAGTGGTAAGGGGCATGACATTTCCCGACCAGGCGCCGAGTGCTGCCAATCCCAACACACACTGGCCCAGCTAACCCATCCCAACACACACTGGCCCAGCTAACCCATCCCAACACACACTGGCCCAGCTAACCCATCCCAACACACACTGGCCCAGCTAACCCATCCCAACACACACTGGCCCAGCTAACCCATCCCAACACACACTGGCCCAGCTAACCCATCCCAACACACACTGGCCCAGCTAACCCATCCCAACACACACTGGCCCAGCTAACCCATCCCAACACACACTGGCCCAGCTAACCAATCACAGCACATTTCGTATTTCAGAAGCCTTCATTTGATACAGGAACTATTCAAGCCGTTCATGCCAGACTGGGGAGAGAGTGTTGTAATATGTGTAAAATGTAAATATGTGAAAAATAATGTTTTTCGAACTATCTAGTATGAGAGTCTGTTCTAGTACACCTCCAAAATAAAATCAAGAGCATAATAGGACCCCTTTAAATTAAATTAAAACTTTACATTTTTTTCCAATAAAAAAATTATATAATAATTTGTATGAAACTACAATATAACTGAATTAGAGTAAAATGTAACACTACTGTAAGTTTTTAAGTAGGTGTTTGAAACTAATTTTCATGTTACAGTAATATGTTCTTAGTGTTGGTCTGATTTGATTATAGTTAGACAGGAGGTTTAAGAAACATTCTTCTTCTTCTTCTTCATATATTTGATTAATCCATGCTGTTGTGCCTGACAACATTCCAGCTCACCTCAAAATTAGCAATTAAAATTACTTTCTATAGGCTTCAGTGCACATAGGCAATTAAATAATTTTCATTTTTATTGTTATGAATATTTCACTGTTTAAAATTCTTGCAATTCAATTTTTTTTTTCTTTTTGACTTTTAGTTAGTTGAAACATTTGTTGCAAAGCTAAATCATCTTAGATTTTTCCATTACAGGAAATACTATGCTACATTTAACACAGTTGTGTGTCATGAAACCACACTGAGGTTTCTTTCTGTGAACATATTGGTCTGATTATACTCAGAGATAGTGTTGGTGATGCATTTATGTTTCCAATTCAAGTGAAACCCAAAGACCCTTTGCTTACAGACTGAGCACACCCATAATGTACTTAAGCATGCATGGTTCATTAGTCTTGTGTTTTAATGTAAAGTACCAAAATAATGGATGGGTAGCATGCTATCATTAATACAAGATTCATTTTGTGTTTTCAATTCCATTCAATAATAAATTTAAAATAAATGAAATATGAGCTCCCAGTGTCAAGGCTCACTGTGCTTTAATTTCTGAGTAGATGACTGCATCATTTCTGTCCTGTAGATATTGAGACATACATTGCAAATAAATCACAAACATTTATAGCATGCGTATCATTAACAAATCAAAATGACAATCTGATTAGCTGACCTCTGAACTTGCATGATTTCTTTTAAAACACTTGTCAGCTCCTGGAAATAAAATCAGTCATAGATTTAACATAGATTTCTCACTATATAGAACACAGAGAAGTCAATTAAACGTCTGTCTTACCATGAATAGATCCTGCTACTGTCACTGAAGCATAATGGATGTCCTCATCTTCTTGTGATTTGAATCCAGTGACGTGACCTTCATCTAGTGAAACAATATGACAGCATCTCGTATTTCAAAACTCATCACAATCAGGAAAATATTCAGTGGACAAAATGGACACTTAAACATGTAAAACATTTTTAGATATGAATTAAGTTTAAGCTGCATCTTTTAGCCTGATCCAGCTAATAAGCATGTGTGTACTAATAGGCAATGTCTCTGTAAAAAGGCAATTAGCAATTTGAAATGAAAGACAGGACTTTCATTCACTTCCCATAGAGAATGTTACAATTTGACCAATTCATTTGGACAATGTTCTCCTTCATATACTGTCTCTGAGATGCGCTCACCTGTTTTTCGCTGACATTTAAAAACTAGAAGTCCCAGCAGAATCAGCACACTGACAGTAACAACACAAGCCACGATGATCTCGATTTGTAGATGACTGTCCTTTGTCATGGTGTCTTCTCCAGACATGTTGAGCCAGATAATTACAACAGTGTCATGATTACACAGTGATACATTTTATTTTTACATTTATATTTTGAGCATTCATTCTGTGTTAAAGTAAAAAATATTGTATATTAATGGTTCAAAAATATTACCTTGGTTTGTTACAGTTGAGCTTTCTGTTGGAGCATTTGTATTTGATGAGGTAAGATTGATTGTTATAGGGGCCAGAGCTCTGAGTGTATTCTCAGTAAAAACTGCACACTGCCAGTCCGTTTCATAGCTGGCTAGATTCACTTTGAGACGTAACATGTTGTTTATTTTTTTTGTCATAATTTGCTGTTTGACCAGCACTCCTCTCTTCCCCTCCATCCTGAGCCAGACCAGCGTTACTGAATCAGTTACTTCAGAAACCTCACAGGTAAGAACCACTGAGTGACTCCTCAACACATCATCAGGGGGCTCCATCGAGACTGAAATCAATGAGGTTTTACATTTGGAGGAATATTGATTAAAATGTATAAAAATAAAGGAATATATTACAGGTTCAACACACCTTAAATGCAATACACGCAATGTTAGTTGTTTAACTAATTCTCACTCACTGAATTGCACCCAACCATCTCTCTAAATATTGTTGCATCGATACAAAATTGTTAATTGTTAAGGAGTATTATTGAAACGGAAACATCCCTTTAAACAGCTGAGAACAAAATGTTGCATGTAAGTGAGAAAACAATGTAAATTTGTTACAAACCTCTGATGGTGCGTAGTATTGTGGTTGTGTAGATTGTTGTTTCAGTAATACACCTGTATGTCCCACTATAATTGAAGTTCACAGGTGAGATGTGAAAGATAAAAAAATGACCAGTGTATGTAGTAGAAGAATTTCTTCCTGGTTTAATTGGTCCTTTTATTTGAACTTCTCTTCCTTTTTCTACGGCTATCAGATCAATCTGTGAATTAGGGCTCTGTTCCCATGTCCACCTTAACCTGTGGTAGTTCTTTTTAGACTTGCAGATCAGTGATACACCACTATTATTGGCACTTTGCCTGTAAATTGTATGCCTTTTATTCTGTGAATCTGGAAAAATATAGAGAGTATAGTTTTGTGGAAAAAGTAGTGTACCAAGTAACTTAAATAGCAGTTTCAGTCATTATCCACTGAAAATATCGTATTCACACTTCGACACATTCAAACCTGTTGCATTAACAATAGACTGGAGAAGTTCTTTGATTATATACAATATGCAATGTTTTAAAAAATGTAATTAATCACATACTTTGGAACAGCAATTTGGAGATCACTATGACTGTGTACACACAACTGAATGTACTTACATGGAGTGACATTAAGTGTGTGAATCCTAACAGTTTGTATGCTTCCATCTTTCATCAATCTACAGTAATATTTCCCTTCACTGCGTTCATCAACAGTGTGTAAGAGGATGTAGGTAGAGTTGTTGTATATCAGAGTGGTGTTGGGTGTTTGTTCTCCATCTTTCTCCCAGTGCAATGTGGAGGATTTAGACAGGAGAGGAACGTCACATCGCAAAGACACGTCAGATCCATGCTGAACTTTGAAGAAGTGAAATTAAAACAGAGTGAACAAATACCAGGGTTGTTGTATTACAACAATTGATTGGAAAGATTGAAAGATTAGAATTATGATTTGAGGTTTGGTAAGGGTTACTTAATCACATTATTACAGCCACAAGCGTTACTCACATATTAAATAATATTATATTATGTTGTAGTTACCTGGCCAGATTTACATAATTAAATTATGGTACAAACACAGAGAATTAAAATTGGTAAATTTAAATTACAGTAATGATGTTTAAGACTATTTCAAATATCCTTCTCAGCTAAACATGACGGATATGTTTCTTAACAGAATCAACTCATTCAACAAAACAAGCAAGCAAAAGCATGAAAATATACAGTATAGGCAATTGTTTATTTAGGTTCAGGCTTGTAATACTCACCTTCTTGAGATTTGTAACAAAACCCAGTTTTCAACATTAATAAAACAATTGAGATGATATGCATGGTGTTGTGTTCAGTCTTATTTTAGAGAGGATGAAGAAGTATCAGTCTTGTCATGCAGAGAAAGAGGAAACGAAAGGAGAGGTTTTTAGAAATGGGTTCAAACATCTGGTACAAACAAATGTTGTGGCATATTACTGCAAATGGATGGTCTTGAAATATGTTATAATATGGAATGATATGGAGGTACTTACATTAAATATGATCATCAATGAGTGTTATGTAACTAAATACAGAAAAATACTGGCATTTTAAATAGCCATGTGGTTCAGCTAATGTATTTTTTCAGTAGCTATTTGGGAACAGGATTGTTGAAAATGGCACATTTTTAAATAATGTTATAACACTTGCAACTTAGGTAATGTCCATTAATGACCATAGCAAACAGCTTCTGTGTGTTTAGGTGCTTCCATCTTCTAGAATCTAGATCACAGCGTGTTGACTGCTGCCCTCTATTGGTGATGTATGTAAACACATTTTCAAAGTACATGTCTGTGCAACTACTTACACAAAATTAAAAAAGGAAAAGCACTTATAATACATGTTATGTAACAGATAAAGTATTTCTTTGTATGAGGCAGTCTAAGAGTACACACAATTGTAACACGTTCAGTGTGACAATATTATTTTTAATCTTCCTTCTCTGTTTAAATTACAGTCAAATTAAAATAAGAACGAAGCCCATTTTCTATTCTCGCGATAAATGTTAATCTGACACGAGAAAGTAAATATCAAATATGGCGACGTCCATCGTCCATAGCAACGTAGTTGCCACAGTGCAAAGTCTTATTACATTTAATTAATAAGTCACACCCCTTAGATCTGAGATTTATTTTTATACATCTCACAAGTGAAGCATTTAAGTGGAATAATTGTGCTTTTTGCTCTTGGTTTTGCACTTTGCAGACGGTCCCTATCCTGCACTTTTACATTATAACTATAAAGTCTATCAATTACAATACCTTAAGGCAGATTAAAACAAATAAAACACATTGTGTGTTCTCTTCTACATTTGAAAACAATTATAACACATTATGTTTCTTGTCCTTGTGCTAAATCGTTAAAGAACTATTGAAGATTTCCGAGGCTGAATCTCTTGACAAATGTCAAACGTCGAACCAACTTTATATTGGTCTGTGTTTGTAATGTCCAGTAATGATTAACTTCTCAGCAGATGTCCAGTTATTTGCTCTGAAGATTCGCTCTGAAGTCACAGTGAAGATGACTGAAAGATTGTTTGAAGAGAAACGACATGCCTTCCTCTATCAAAAATATTGATTTGGTCCACCTGATGAGCTGAAGAAGCTTGTTCTCCATTATCTGGACAAAAAGGTAAGACGGTCGTGTTATTATTAGGTACGTTTTGAGCGCAACAGTCTGACATGTTGGTGTCGTGTGCACAAAAGCTGAATCACTGCATGTTTGTTTGGTAACTTTGTTTGGAGAGACCCTTCCAAAATATGGAGCACATACATTATAAAACAATTTTAATACATTATTGTAATAATAATTATAATAATAAACCATAAAAATAACATTCTAAGGTGGTTGTAATTATATTTATACCACAAAAAATTTATATATATATATATATAAATTAATATATATAAAATATATTTAGATTGTATACGAAATCACAGTGGGGTTTATTGCCATTTTACCATGTCCAATAAATCATGTTAACACCATACTGTTTCTAAGTTACTGTCATGACCTCTAGCTGGAGCGCCAGTGAGCTTCACTAGAGGGCACCCCATCCCGGACTTTACCACTCCATCAAAAACTTAATTTCCCATAATCGTTTGCCCGGACTCATCAACACTCACTCTTTGCACCTGTGTCTCATTTACCCTGTCTGCTCACCATATAAAAGTCTGGTTTAGTTTGTCATTCTTTGCGAAGTCTTGTAAGTGTTACACTGCATCGCTGAGCGGTTCTCCTGTTTCTATGTATCTTGGTTTTTGGACTCTTTGCCTGTGTTCTCTGCCTTGTTTAGTTGGACTGATTGCCTGTGTGTTGACCCTTGCCTGCTG